ATTTATTTATTTATTTATTTATTTATTTATTTGTGTGCTGCACCTATAACACATTACAATCTCAGAAACAGAGCCACCTTCCTGGATGATTTGCTTATCTCTGCTCCAACACACCTGATTCTGTGATTACCGGTAAAATGACCTCTGATTAGTCTGCCAATCACTCATTTATTCACAACAGGTGTGTTGGGGCAGAGAAACCTCTAAAACACCAAGGCCAGTGGCAGTTCCTCCAGGACCTGGGGAGAGGAGACTCACCTGTTGCCATTTGACTTTCAGAGCTGGGTCTCTGAGGGTCTGGCAGTGCTTGTGGATCTGCTGAAGGACGCCCTGATAGTACACAATGGACGAGTCATAGTTCCCAAGCAGAGCATACTCACGGCCCTTCTTAGCGTTGTCACATATTTCTGCTAAGTTCATGTCGAATATTAGCTACAGAAAGGAAAGAAAACTATGAGAGGCATGTTAAAGAAATGGCCGATGCTATATATTAAACAGAACTAGCCACTATCTTTCATTTAAGTATCGTGAATATTGCAACAGCGATTACAATCTGGTGGCCAGTGAATCAAACTGCAACACCTGCTATATGTTTGTTAAGCTAGCTGGTGGGGTCAGCGGCAGTGATTTTTAACCTCGAAGTGGCTCACCGATAGACAAAATAAAGCCACCAGTTTAAAATATCTTTACTTGTTTACAGCGTGTAATCATACAGATTTTAGCCTTATTCATAGCTTGGAGCGGTCAGGCCACAGACAAAAACAAACCGTGTGACTCTAGTCTCGTCAGTGAGTAAATCCTCCCAGCATAGAAACACGCCTGCAGATAAAAACAGGCGGCGACCGACGCGCGAAGCATACTGTTCAATAAAAGCTTCACGAAGAGAGTAATCCTCGTACCTGCATGTGAGAACAGACGTCTTTTCTGAATCAGCCGTCCGCTGTTGAGAAAAGTGTTACCATGGGCGCAGAGACGCCGTGTGGGGAATGCAGACAGCCAGGTTAACCGTGCTGCTTTCACTTACGCATAAAAAACTGGTAGAAATGAATGTTTAAACAGTTTATTGAGGTTAATAAATAAAAACTGCTGGAAAGACTTCACATTTCAACAAATTTTATTTAATACTGTTTAGTATGCATATATTACTTATTTTTCTGTTCTTTACGCACAGGCTGAACAAATATTTAGACTGAAATATAAGGCGTTAATATTTTTACGCGATTTTGTGAACGCATCATTAGTGCTACGGCGATGCAAGTGTTGGCCACTAGATGTCGCTAAAATTAGGTCAAATCATAGTTTCACCATCTCTGTATTTTCCATAACTGCTTCACTGTTTGCAAACTTTCAACCAAATATAATGTAGTTCCATTGTAAAAAAGTATGCAATGAATGACAAAATGTACATTTTTACTTTGTTTTTCATTAAAGACTGGGTTATATCAAACAACTACAGTAGACTGAACATTATATTTAACAAATCAATAAATTTACCAAGCAATTTACTAATTTTTGCCAGACAAAAAGAGCTTTTTGCACTGCAAACATTACACTTACCAGAAACCTTAAACAACCACATGATACAAATATAGATAAAACATTTTTTTATTGATTTGCAGCTTCAGATGGTCAAAAATCTCTACAACAGTGTAGTGTCTGCATCAATGTACACACATATGAATAATTATCAGACAGAACTGACATGTTTCTTTTCATCTCACAAAGTTTGCATTCAAACTTCTTATGCAAATAAATTGTGTGGATTTGGATTTTGTCTAAAAAGAGCTACATTTTACTATTTGTTTTSATTCAGCTCTCTCAGCATGAACGCATGACAAAAGCTGACAAAAACACATCAGGAATACATTTCTTCTAGTTCTGCTTTTATTTTTAAAAGTATTTTAAATTACACATTTTAAAAAAATTGTCTTGATTTCATAATGTTTATCTTAACTTTTCTGTTTTGATCACTTCAAGTTAAATTACTGTCACTAATAACTGTTCACGTTTGGATTTGTAATTGGTGTGTAATCCTGTAAGATAATGACTGAGATAAGTGTATCATTTATAAACATTCATTGACTAAAGTGCAAATACATGTCATCTTTCCACATCCATGCTTTCATTTTACAGAAATACTGGTTTACATTGACTATCTGCACCTCAGATGTAAGGCAGAAAACCTTTTAGAATCACAGAATCTGTCCTTATTGTTAAACCAAATTAAATGATACAGTTTATTCAACATTGCCTTTTTAGCACCATTATTACTCCAGATTGGTGCRGCAGCCTCTGTGCACACTTCAAGTTCACCCATAAGACCTCAACATTGACAAAACCTTCTTTCCTGCTCTTGATGGCTCCATAGTTCCCTGAGACTGCTCTCACTCGGYTGCTTTAGTCTCAGTGGTTTGTGATTCTTTAGCCTATAAGCTAAAGTCAGAAAGATAGCATCAATGTGCTCCTTCTCTGCAAGGTCCTTGGCCGAAGTCTCAAACAAGGGGAAATCRTAGCGATCAGCGAGGCATTGAGCAGCTGATGTGGGCACCTGCCGAAGTTCCCTCAGGTCACACTTGTTTCCCACCAGGATGCGAGGCACCAGGGGCCCCACAGAGTGTTGGCTGCACTCTTCAATCCACTCTGGAATGCTCTCAAAGGAAGGGAGGCTGGTCGTGTCGTACACAAAGATGACAGCGTGAACACTGCGATAGTAGTGCTCCACCATGCTCTTCCTAAACCGCTCCTGACCTGCTGTGTCCCAAATCTGCAACTGGAACAGAAGCAAAACCAAGCTAAAAAGTATTCAAAAGATACTGAACAACCAGCCTCCAACAAACAATAAAAATGTATTTGGCTTTCTTACAATCTGTTAATACTATTTTTAAAGTTTAAAATGAAGATCTGAATCTTAAAAACACAACAAATATAATTGGTTCATTTTCCAGAAGGATTTAAAAAAGGTAAAATTTACATTTAACACTTCAATTTAAAAGAGCAGAGACAACAGACTCACTAGAAACCAATCATTTGTKACTCAGTAAAGACTTAAATTATAGGATAGATAATTAGCATTTACATAGTATTATGATTACCTAGGAACCTACTCAGYTCGGTACATCAGTGTGTTTTCTGTATAAAAGGAAAAATGCAGAAAGAAAACCGGTATTGTACGAAATTGTGTCGTTTTACAATCCATATAAAACAAGTACTAGTGGAAATAGGTAGGCTATTCTGGGAACGTGTTAAATATTAACGAATCCAGGGTTTTCCATGTTTTATATGTGTAACATATAGTTGTTAATTTTAAAAATTAAGCACGGGGGTGGGGGACACCTCTCACCTTGATGCTCTCTCCATCCAGGACCACCGTCCTCTCTCTGAAATCCACCCCGATCGTCGCCTCTGGGTTTTTCAGGAAAGTGCCTCCGCAGAACCGGTAAGTCAAACACGTCTTCCCCACATTTGAATCTCCGATTATTATTATCTTAAATATTCGAGCTTTTGCGCCTTCATGTTCGTTATAGGAGGAGGAGAACTCTAAAGAGTCGTTTTCACCGAAAACTGTGTCCARTTCCTCTGGCGTTTTGTTGCCATCGCTCATGTTGTCGGGAACTAATCGTATGTTTACGTGAAATATCGCAAGATCATGACAAATCTCGCGAGACTATTACAAATCACCACTAGATGTCGCTAGAAAAGGACGTAGAACAAACAAAAGCATGAATTTTGTTAATAATTTGGTAAAAATAACAATATTTACGCATATTAAAAGGTAATTTTATGAAGACTTGTTTTATCGCATAATTGTTGGAGAATACAGTTAATTTTTTATGTAAATCTATTTTGTTTTGTAATGTAAGGCTTTTTTACAGGACACGAACGTCTTACAAGCAGAAAAATATATGCCATTTTAAATGTTAATATATACAAAATAAAAAAATGTATGAATTTTGCAGATTCAATGCACTGCTGTCCACACTGTCAATTTAAAAGAATTGCTATTTTATGAAAATAAGTTGTAAATCTACATGAACTTGTAATAATATTTTAAAGAAACACAAATTATTTAGATGAACAATGTATCCTTTCTGATACTATTAGCAAATTAACATTATATGTCTTAATTATTAATGTTTTAATATTAAAATTTCTGGACTTAAATTTAACATATGTTTGAATTGTTTCATTATATCAAAATTAACCTAAAAGAACAGTTAAATTATTCTAAGACAAGTCCAGAATGCTTTTATTTTAAACATTTTGTATTCTGACCAAAAAATGTTACACACATAAATGTCAATGTTATAAAGTAAATGAATGTAACACAATTAAAGTCTGAAATAAAGTGTACATTGAGACTGAACAAGGATAAATAAAACCATTAAGATTTGATTTTATTGCTTTTATGTTTTTTTGTTATGCATTTTCTATCCTATTTATGATTTCTTTAAATCCTATTACTGTAACATTGTTTTTCTCTGTTTTTAATATCTTTAGTAGTAGAATAGTTCATACTGTTTAAATAAAGACAGAGAGAAAAACAGTAGCTTGAAAAAAAATTGATTAAAACAGTTCAAATATCAGAAATTTGCAGATGAGATCGTTTGTGGTTTTTAATGTCAGTGTTTGTGTTTCCCCAGATACATTTTCATAAAATAACTCATTTATCTTGAAAAGTTAATGCAATAAAACAGAGATATCTTGTGTATTATATTACGTTGCAAACCTGCTAAAAAAGGGAGTAAAAATCTGCATGTTTTTTGTGTTGACTTGCAAGAAGTAGGTCAAGTTTCAGGTGAGTTCACCTGAAACTCCTCACACTGAGGAGTCTCATGGAGGAGAGACAAAACGTTTCATTAAAGAAGAACCCATCCAGAGGACCTACTTGTTTTTCTTTTTGATTTTTCTTCCTGGATTACTGAGACGCATCAGGACACAARAAGTGGGTGTTAAAATAAGTTGATTACTTTAATTCAATTTTTAAATATTTGTGTCATATTATCAGATATACAGATTTTTTTAATATACAAAAACCTAATTTTTGTCAACATTTATCTGCTCTATCATCTTGTCTTCAGTTTCGACACAGGGAGGTAAATACCAAAACACAGAAAAATGCTGCCCTGCATTGAACATGGATGTTTATTTTGACACATWCAGCTCTATAATAGTCACATTATACACAGCAGTCAGTCAGGTCAACACTCACCCGTCAGTACAGAACAGATTACAGTCACACTTTCAAAGATTGTTCTGTTGGACGTACCGACTCAACTTTTAGTGTTTTTGCACCACAACAATTTTAGATTTTTGTTTTTACATAAATCACTCAGAGCAGCGATTATGTGTTTCAACGTAGGTTATAAACTGAGTGTTTAGTTATAACATAATTTACCATAACTAAATTATACAAAAAACAAACAAAAAAACAAAACAAAAATATACTGCTTTCTAATGTGCTGTGACTTAGCCTTAAATAAACATAATGTCCTAATATACACTCAAACCAGTTCCAAAAATAAATTGAATGAAGCATCCTAATAATACAACAGTAAATACACTGAAGATGGCAGAGAGGCTTTTGATGAAGCTTAAACCTGAGCGAGAGCACAGAGGTCTGGTTTTCAGATTTCTAATAGTTTTTAAAAAGGCCAACTGTGTGCAGCATCACATCAACACAAGGCTGGAAAAAAAAAAAACATACTAAAGCCCTGTTTTAGACCAATGTGTACACAAATACGAGGCACATGAATTGCCAATCAGTTAGGATTTTACACCAATCTGAAGCAAACATGTGCACATTTATTTTGGGTAAATGTCATAGACGCATCCTCAAAATAGGATTTTTAAAGCATTAAAGGGTTCCTCCTCTGATGTAATGTTTGTTCATGATTACAAGCTCTATTTGGCATCCCTTCACACACACTCCCTCAGCTCTGATTGAACCATTAAATCTAAACCATACACTTTTCTAACAGTCTGCTTTACAAGCTGACCAAGAAATAAATTTGAGTCTTCTTTAAATGTGTGACAAACCTTCAGCCAGTGTTACAAAACATTTCGCCTCTATTGTATTTTGTCTCGTCAAGCTACAAAGTAACTTCAACTTATCAGGGAACTTTCAAGTTACGGGGAAAAGATGGCGACCTGTCCAGGGTGTACCCTGCCCCTCGCAGTGTGACTGCTGGATATGGGCACCAGTGACCCTGAAAGGAAGAAATGGGTGGAATAAAATGTAACTGTTATTTTACTCCACTGCCACGGTGCATTTTGGCAYACACTTATTTTCCCACTATATTTATCTGCTAATGCAGTAAATCTCATCAGAGCTGCACTGATGATGTCTTGTTTAAAATCTAAGCAGGATAAACGTGTACGGAAGTACGATGACGTTACTGATGGCTCAGTTCCAGAAGGTGCAGCATTTACCTGTTTTATTAGCAACACCTGTTCTCCATTTGCATTTCTCAGATACAAAACAAAACACTTTAATTACAACCTGCAAAACATCCACCTGAGAACCACTGCATGATGGGAAGTTTTAAACTGAAACTGACCTCCAATTAATCTCAAAGCCCAAGTGCTTTCTCGCAGTACGAGGAATCACTGTTTTGTTAAAGCGATCCCCGATTAGTTGTAACATTAGACTTTATTTGATAAACATAAATTTCAACTGTAAAACAAAGACTGTAAAAATACTGTAGGCTGTTTAGTTTTTATAATTTTAAAAATATATATTTTAACATGGGCGGAGTCATTTTATTTACATGCAAAGCATTCTGGGTAAATGATGATGTGGGTAGGTCATCGGTGCAAGGCTGCTAGCGAGCTATATCCACCCTGAAGTTTAATCTTGGACAATATCTGATGATTGGCTCTTTTAAATTAAACCAGAGAGCGTTGACAGAGACGGGAAGGTAGAAATGTCTCAGCCTGTAACTGAAAATATGGATGGAGGACAACAGAGCTGCTTCATGGAAGAACCTCAGCTTAGCCTGTTAGCCTTTGTGCTAGCACTGACGCCATATTGCCTTATATGTATTAGCTGAGCGCTAGTGCTACAAACAAGCTAAACTGAGGTCCTCTATCCATATTTTCAGTTCCAGGCTGAGTCATTTCTACCTTCTCCTCTCTGTCAACGCTCTCTGGTTTCATTTAAAAGAGCCAATCATCAGATATTGTCCAAGATTAACCTTCAGGGTGGATATAGCTCGTTAGCAGCCTCGCACCGATGACCCATCCACGTCATCATTTACCCAGAATGCTTTGTATGTAAATAAAATGGCCCCGTCCGTGTACTATATTTTAAAAATTTGGTTTAAAAATGATAAAACTGAACATCCTACAGCATTTTTAGTCTTTATTTTACAGTTAAAATATATATTGATTAAATAATGTCTAATGTTACAACTAAACAGGGATCCCTTTAAGTGTTATTTATTTTATCCAACACAGTTTCAATGTTGTAACTCACTGAAAAAAATGACATTTGCCAGTTTGTGCTTTCAAGAACTGTCCTTAATACTGATCTAAATAGTACAAGAGAACAAAATGATTTAAATCAATTAAAAATCATTGAAGTTTGTTTCCTTTGACACATTCACCAGTTCTCGTCTGAAAAAGAGCTCGAGCTCCCAGAGTCTGATTCTATGTCCGTCAACCCATCCAAGTCCCAGTCGGCACTGGAGCCGCTGTCGTCGTCCTCCTCCATGGAAAAGCTTTGAGCGGAGCTGAGGCATGCTGGGTACACGCGTGTCGAAACGCACACGGGTCCCAGGGTGGACACGTACACCGCCATGATGTTCTTCCACGTGTCCCTGGCGGGATCGTACTCATGGATGAGGACCCTGTTCTTGTTGTGCTGCAGTAACGTCTGAGTGAGGAGGAGCAGCTTGCTGTCGTGCCGGATCACCTGGTAGTTGAGAGCCCGGCTGTCGATAGGAATGTCCCCCAGCCTCTTCCACTCCCCCCTGGTGGGGCTGTAGGCTTTAACCACGGGGATGTCGCACACACAGATGATCTGGTCCTGGAAGACGCAGGCCTTGTGGAGCTTGTCTCTTCTAAGCGAACCGCAGTGGCGCCAGCGATTCCTTTTGGGATCGTAGCAAAGCATCCTCCTTTTGTTCACCACGTACAAGTGGTCGTTCAGGGCCACCACTTGCATTTTACCCAAAGAGTGAGGCAGGGGAGCCACAAAAGTCCACTGATTCCTCTGGATGCTGTAACACTCCACCTCTTTTAGTCTGGTGTCAGTAACAGGATTTCTACCTCCTAAAAGATACACATGGCCGTTCAGGTAGCCCATTCCAGAGTGTATCCGGCCCAGATGCCTTTCTGCCAGCTCCTGCCAGCTGTTGAGGACAGGATTGTACAGCCAAAACTGCTTGGAAAGGTGGGAAGCTAAGTACAAATTGTTTTCTGGTGTGGCACAGGCGATTAATGACTCCATAGTGGACTGTTTGTAATCCTGAGTGCTGAGATCTTCTAAAGGAGGAGCCATGAAATACAAGTCCTCTGAGTAAGGGTCACAGCACATTATATTATCGTTAGGCAGGCCAAAGAAGAGGATCATCTCCTTGGCGCTCACACCAATTCTGTGTTTTGGTACGTCCACAGCTGCAGACATCCCGCAGCCGTCCTCCGCAGACCTGTTCAGAAACGACTCCATGAAAGGCCTCGTCACGAGACCCTCCAGGTAGCACTTGTCTTTCTCGCTGAACAGGTTCCAGCGCACGCATTTCAGGGCTTGGAGCGCGTCGTCTTTATCCAGCGGCGCGTTCGCCTCCAACCACTGCAGAGCAGCCGAGCAGACCTTCTTCTCACAGTCCACGTCCAGAGTGTCCAGGCTCAGCAGCTCCTTCAGCTGCACCAAGTTCAGCTCACAGAGCTCTCCTGCATTACACACCTGGCTGAAATTCCTGGCGATGAAAGCTTTGGCGTTCTCCTTCAATTCAGGATTGTCGTAGGTGTCTGCAAATTTGAGTAYCCCCACACAGTTTGAGAGATCCAACCTCCTTGTCATGAAGCTGGAGCAAGCTCTCCTGATGTACTCGATCTGCAGCATGTTGGCAGCTGAGTAGAGCCTCTGGACGTTGCTTTCAGTGATGGTCACCCTGCCTGAGTAGCAGTAATCTATAATGACAGACATGGACTCAGGGTCCACTCCTCGGATGACCACACTCTCCTGCATGCTTTCATTCAAGCCCCCGGTGAACATGCTTTTGAAGTAGGGGCTGGCAGCAGCGAGAACGTTGCGGCTGCACAGGAAGAGCCGGCCGATGTCACGTCCTCCGGCGGAGTCTCCACCGGGCTCCTGGGACTCCTCCTCGCTCTCAACACCGATAGTGATGTCCCCGAGCAGCCGGAAGTCGTACAGGGATTTCAGCTCATTCATTAAACTCCGAGCGTGGGTCACGTCCTCCAGCACCTCCGGGCCRGTGAAGCAACTCAGCGCCGAAGAAGCCATTTGCTCCCAGAAATGTTCAAAGTTTACACCGACGAGTAGCTCAACACGTTGTCAGACAGCAAACATGTTCAACAACACGACAGGGTTTCTAATAGTGATACAGCCGCTCGCCAAGCTGTCGATACATTTACCAGCGACTTAAACAAACCGAGTGTTCGCCCGAGAGCCCGAAATCAGCCATTTCTCGATTTCTAAATACACACACCGTCGACCTTAAAATAAATATAATCTATTCACCACACCAAGAGAGGCACTTTTATAAAACAGACTTGTTTTCAGTACATCGCTCTTCTCTGTTATGATGGAGGAAAACCAGCAGAGCGTTGCTTCCGGAAAATGTCAAATTAAAACACAATTAAAATAAAATAACTTTAAATTGACTGCTCACTGAGTATTTTATATATAGCTAAATAAAAACCTATATAGCTTTGATGTATACTACGATGACTACAACTTCATTCTGTTCATAAAAACTGATTTTGGGCCGGTTAAGTAAATAATGTTTTTTGTTTTGAAATTAATTCTGCTCAACTTCCGCTCTTGCGCACTGCTCAGTCTTGCCTGAACAGCTTACCACGTGATTGGTCCGTGAAACTAGGTCAGCAAGGTAGACTGTTAGAGACGGATTTAACACATATAATTTCCTTTTAAATAATTAATGGTTTCAAAGCATTATATTATATTATAT